CAACCGCTGCAAGCCAAAAAATATTCATCGTCAGGACTTTATTACACGGAACGAGGGATCACTTCCAACACAGGAGTTGTAGGATCGTGGAATAGCTGGAGCAGAAAGCCCAGCGCTCCTCGGTGGAGGAGCTTGCCAGGCTGCCATCCAACTTATTGGTGCAGGAGCTCGCCAGGCTCCCATCCAAGCTATTTTCGTGCTGTGATTCACCTTGATCACTTTTCAGCATCTTTATCACCCGCTCGCAGCGTTTTTTTCTCTCAGTGATCTCCTCCACTTGTGGGCGTTGGTGCTTCGGCACAGATGGAGCGTTTTACAACGCTGAGAACCAGCTGGAGGCAAAAATCTCTGAAATTAATGGCCTTCCACAGGCCCAAGGTTTAGTTCTTTACTGGCTTTGGAAGGGGCTGCCCAGGGAGGTGGTGGAGTTCCCATCCCTGGAGGTGTCCAAGGAATGACTGGACGTGGCACTTCAGTTTTCTGGGCTGGGTGACGAGGTGGTCACAGGTTGGACTCGATGGTCTTGGAGGTCCTTCCCAACCTAAATGTGCAAAGCCATCAAAACCCAGGAGCATCCAGACATCTGTGGTTTAACAGAGTCTTCCAGGAACAACTATAAAGGTAACAGGACGTACCAACATCAGGTTAAAAACATTTTCAGGTTAAAATATATCAGGTTTGCTACTACAACACGACGTATTGAAGCTTTTTGGTCATACCTAGTTCCAAATTCAGTGGTAAAAGTAACAGCTTCAGCAGAAAACACTTTATATTTCAGTGTTCCAACACACAGCTGCTGCTCTCGTGGGATCCCAGGGAGGCTCCAGTGTTCTCCAACACTCCCCAAGATCTGGCAGGTTCCTATTTCCCAGGGAAGTGTCTTAACTGTGCTCCTTGATCAGCTCTGAAAGCAGCTCCCCGGAGACTCATCCCTCCTTGCAAAAGGAGCAAAAGGAGCGTGGAAACAAACATTCCCATTAAAACATATGGCAGCAGTGGAAGGCTCAATTGAGCAGCAACAGCAAAGGTTTGTGTTCTGTGCTCACAGAACGGAGCTTCCCAGGGAGGAAATGAGGAATAACATCTCCACTGGGATGGGAGTCCCTGGATAACCTGCAGGAATTCCTCCCCCTCACAGCTGACGAACGGGACACGTGTCCAATGTCTCATCCAACATGTCACAGGTTTATCAATTAAGGAAGAATTTCCCTAAGCCCCGTTTTCCTCCCCAAAAGCTCCGTATGTGCTCGTTCCCAGGGAAGCCTGTTCTCCTCTGCAGCTCCCAGCAGACACATCCCAGCTGGTCCCTGCTCCTCTGGGGCCGCTCAGAGGGTCCATCCAAGCTGCAGGAATCACCCTCAAGCCCAAGTGTTCTCCAGGAGAGCAGCAGGATGGGTTAAGGAAGGGAAAATGCACACTTGAACTGTTTTTCTTGGCTCTGCTCGCGACAGATGCTCTCATACAAATTTAAAAGCTCGTCCTGTACGAAAAGAATCATCTGCTCCAAGTGCTGGACAGGGAATCCAGCTGTGCTTGTAAACCCAGCTTATCCAAGATGGAATTTTGGAGGGACATATCGAGGTAAAGGTTTAAACCACTGTGCTTTCAGAGAGGCTGAGTTAGACACAAAATACCACAGAGGGTGTGGAATTCCCATCTTGGAGGTGTCCAAGGCCAAGTTGGACAGGGGTTGGAGCAATCTGGTCCAGTGGAAGGTGTCCCTGCCCATGGCAGAGGCTGGAACTGGATGGGCTTTAAGGTCCCTTCCCACCCAAACCATTCCATGAATCTATATTTCCATATAACAAAGCTCAAAGCTCATTTGCTTTATTTAACAACCCAAACAGCAACTTGAAACCAGGGCTGAGGAACGGGCAGGGGATGAGAGTCTCCTTCCAGGGAAAGCTGCCGGGGGTTTTTCTGGAATTCCAGCTTGGTTTCACTCTCCTGTGGCTGTCCAGGATCCCACAAAGCACTCAACCTCCCTGAGGGTGTAAAACCCGGGTCTGTGCCAGCTCCAGGCATGGCCAGGCTGAGCAGTTATACCCAAGAGGCTGGAGAAGCTGTGACCACGCAGGGAAAGGGGCAGGGAAGGTGGGAATGCTGCGTGTTCTGCAGCAGGAGGATGTTCCTGGAGCCAAAACTCTCTTAACAAGAACAGTTTTTGTTGGGAAAAGCTTCCCCAGAGGAGAGGTCCCAGCTGCTACACATCCCCCTGCACAGAGCCAGGCACGACAGGGCCTTTACCTGCTTTATGGCCTTCACCAAGACCCTACAAATAATAAGGTGAGGATTAGTCCTTTGGGAAAATTGGGAGATGAGAGATCCCTGGCACTTGTGAGGTCACAGCCAGCTAATTCCACCTCCAGCAGCCACCTGCCAGTAGGAAAGGGAAGGTTATTCAGGTTATTTAGGTGACTCAGACTCAAAGGAATCTCTATCCCTCACAAATTCCTGCATCACCCCCGGAATGTCTGGCTAATTAGAGCATCTTGGAGAGACACATCCTATGCTGAGGGTTATTTTGAGATCTCCAATTATCTCTTGCAGACTCCAGGCTAAAATCTGACTGGAGCAGTGCTGTGAGAGGGAGGGAACGCCTGATCCAGGGCATGTTTGCAAAATACTTGTAGCATATACAGCTATTTCAATATATTAATATTTACAGTCTGCCACAACATTTAAGTCTTCCCCATAAACATGCAACAAAGGCAAGGCACGAGCTGGATCCCTCCAGAGGCAGCGTCACAAGATCCACTTCTACAGGTAAAAAAAAAAACAAAACCCTGCATCATAATAGATGATCTCTATCAAATCTTTTCCATTTGATATAAAAGCTGTGCCTATTAAGAAAGAAACGGGAAAGATTGGTACATGGCCAGAGAAACTGATGTTCCAATTACATTGTAAATGAAGATGAATTTGATAACCAGGCCACAAATCCAGACACGTTATCGTTGCCCCTGGCAGGATCCAATTTTCAAGTGGAAGAATTCAGGGTAATCTCCCTGTTGCAGCATTTCCACACATTACCTCTTCCTTGTCCCTAATGCTCCTCAGATAAGAGAAGCTCGTTTGGGAGCTTTACAATTCCATGTAAAATTAGACTTGTGTCCTTTTATGTCCTGTGCCCAGGTTGCCTTTTGAAGCCGTTGGGCTTGTTCAGCACTGCAAGGGTTTATTTCTTTGTTCTTTTATTTATGGAGATCAGACTTTCAGCTGGTCTCAGGGTTTGAGAGGAAGCATTTAGCTGTTCCCAAAAGCCTTGGGATGCTGCCCTGGGGGAGAAATGTGTCCTTGCTGCCTAAGCAGGTCACTCCACTGATGTGTGATCACCTCCCACTCGTTTGCAACCACTTGCATCCATTTATAAAAGCAATTTATTAGAGAAGCATGGCCTATTCCCCATCCCTGGAATGTTCCAGGCCAGGTTGGACGGGGCTTGGAGCAACCTGGTCTATTGGAAGATGTCCCTTCCCATGGCAGGGGGTGGAATGAGATGGGCTTTAAGGTCCCTTCCTACCAAAACCATTCTGGGATTCCAAGAGATGTGTCCCAGGATCCCTGATGGAGATCTCTGGCTATGCCAGCGGACAAAAATCCTTAAAAACTGACCAGCCAGCAGCCAGATCCCCTTTGATCCCACTGATGGGGGCCAGAAGGTGTAGAACTGGCAAGGTCTGTCTGGGTTTAAAACCTGCAGTCTGTAATTTTAATGCCTTATGGACCCCCACAGGAATTCCCACCGAGCCATTCCTTCAGCTGCTCTGCTCCTGCAGCATCGGGTGACAAACCCCAGGGCACTGGGAACCAGATGATCTTTAAGGCCCCTTCCAACCCAAACCAGCCTGTGATTCCATGAAATCCAACACCCCCAGGAAGCAGCAGCTCCAAGAGATGGACCTCATCACATTTTCCCCCCTCCCTAAATCCACTGAAAACCTCTTTCCCTCCGGATCCCCGGCTGGTACAATTCTGGAGCCTCCTCCACGCCGTGACCTCTGCGAGAGCGTCGGGCAGGGAGAGCCAGCCAGCTCTCCCTTTTTTTATTTGTGGGGATGTGGTTTTAACAGCTCAGATGGTGCCACCCCCACACTGTACAAACACAACACACACACACACACACAGACTCACCCCCGTGGGCGCTGCCCCTGCTCCTCCTCACCCCCGGCGGCTCCCGGCGCCCAGAACTCTCCGCTCCTGCAAGTCAAAGACAGTTTTCGTGAGGCTCCTCAATGGAAGCACAAATCCCACCCTCCTTCCCTCGAAAAAATAAAACAAAACAAAAGAAGAAAGGGAAAAAGAAAAAAAAGATTCCCACATGCAGTTATTACACATGAAGGAAAACATGCAACTTCAGCTGAGCTGTGGACGTTTCACAGGGAAACAGCAATACTGGGGCGGGGGGGGAGGGAGGCTAAAAAGTTTACATTTTTAAACAACTGAGCGGAATTTGGGGGTTTGTTGGGGTTTTTTTTGGCAGTAGCAGGAACTAACTAGGTTCATTTTTACATCCTTGGATATTTAAATATTCCTCTTTGCCCACGTTCCGCCGGAGTGCATTTATTTTTTATCTCCGAGGGCACGTTTATTAAAGTTATATCTCTAATTTATGCAGAGAAAAAAAAAAACATGTGGGTTGTTTTAAAACGTTTTTATTTTAAACATTTTTTTTCTCTTTTTTTTTTTGCGAGTTGCCTTTTTTTTTTTTGTTTTTAAATTACATTAAAATTAAAACATCTCAAGGCTTGGCTGGATAAAAAAAGTTTACGTCACGGGTTTATGGAAAAGAGAAATGCGCTGTTAAAATCAGACATTTAGGTTACCTTTTGGGCGATGCATGTTAGCTTTACACATCCTGATTGATTCTCCTGCTGATAATTTTCCTTTAAAAGGGGGGTAATGGGCAGATCTTTTCATCAAGCAACCACATTATGCCCTGAAAGCTGACTCCAAACCAGTGTTGAAAATTCGGTTATTTGCACTTTAATAACAATCTACAAATACAAGTTTGTGGTTTTTTGTTGTGGTTTTTTTTTTTTCTTTTCTTTTTTTAAAGTATTCCCCTCGTTCATGCGCTGCCACAGTTTTGCTCCCTAATATTCTTATTTTTCACCCCCGAGCAGTTTAATTCTCTCTCCCCTTAAAGAGTTCCAAATTCGTCTGGGAGATGGGAAACACAAACCATTTTTTTCATGTCTCTTTAAGAAGCATTTAGTTTTAAATATATATGTAATATATATAATATATCTCTGTACATCCACACCCTCTCAGAAGGATTTTAAGGAGCAGCTGCAGCACCATTTTCCAACAAAAATACATTTTTTAAGTGGTTTTTCCAAGTAAAAGCTACCGTGAAGTAGGAAGGGCATCATCTTAGCCAAGGGAGGGGGTTTTACAGAAAGCAACTTCCTTCTCCTCCTGGTGGCAGCTAAGCCTTGGAATTTTCAGCATTCCTTTTGTCATGCTACTTAAAGCAGGGATTTCAGACTCAAGCTGGAGTCTGCAGCCCGGAATATTCTCCGAGGCCACTTGAAATCCGAATCAGTAACTCAGCAAAGAACCATAAAACACTTTCCAAGTCAGATTTCTGCCCCAGTCCAGGCTCAAACCGCTTTTAACAACTTCCAGGGGGTGAAAAACAAATTTTTTCTTTTTCATATATATATAAATTTATTTTTTTTTTAATTTAAGCTCATTCAACGAGCTCAGTAAATTTGTTTTGTTTTGTTTTTTTGGTGAGAATTACAAAAAAAACCACCTTTTTGTTTTTTTTTTTTTAGAATGTCTCCATCGTTTTAAAAAGACAATTATAGCTTTAGCATTAATTTAAATTTATTTAAAAACGAACAGAACGGAAATAAAATAAAATAAAAAAATCGCTACTTTTTATCGCTCAACCAAAACAAATGACAATTCATCACATTTACTTTGATTAAAAAAGGACTAAACTTTATTGACAAATTGCGACAGACATTTTGACACGTTTTTAGCTACCTAGTTAGGCAGACTTACACATGTAGCATTTTCTCTTCCAGAACAGAGTGGGAGGACAGTGTACAAATCCAATTAGGACTTTATCTTATGTACAAAGTGAAATTTTTGATCATTTTGTTGGTTTTTTTTTTTCCCAGCTGCAGTGTCCCTTTTTATGCAAGGCTCGTGCTGAGATACACTTGAACAAGTCGATGGGACTGCTAATATTGACATTTTTACTTTGTTTTTGTGTTTTCTTTTTAAACTTGCACTGGATTATCTGCCCCAAGCACTATAAAAAATGAGAATTTTACAGAGTTCAGACCTACCCATGGAATATTCTGCTTTCTACTATCAAACACTGGGCAATTAGAGCCATGCTTTGTTTTTGTCCCTTAAAATTGTTCATCTAGAACCAAACTAAGAACCCCTTTACACTGGAAATATCTGCTTCCCAAGCATATCTCAACACTGCACGGGGGGCTAGATTTCAAAATCCACATAAGAAAAGTCAATTTTACAAACCTAATTTTTCTTTTAGGTCAATTCTCTTTAAAAAAAAAAGCTATTTAATTTGTTGGAGGATCTTTCATATTAAAATTTAAACTTCAAGATTCACCAGCAATCTCCTTATAAAGAAGTTTTGGCATCTGAAGTTACTTTTTTCCTTTTTTTTTTTAGAAATGGTGGCAGCTACTACCGTTACATTATGATTTTAATGCTTAAAAACAGCCCTGAATTTTGAAATGTAGCCTACTTTGGGATTCTGCAACTACAACCTTTATGGGTTCCTTTAAAACAAACTTTAAAAAGTTTTAAACAAAAACCTTAATTTCATAGCTGCTAAGCAAAGCATGTCACTTTGGAAAACTAACACTTTTAAACTGTGGTTTTGTAGGTTTTTTTTGTTGTTTTTTTTTTTTTTTCCTTAAAAAAAAAAAAAAGAAAGGTACAGTTGAGTTTATCTAAACGACAAAGAAAGAAAAAGCCACCTACACACTGGAAAAAAAAATAAAAATAAAAATTTAAAGTCGCTTCCTCTAATTAAAAAAAAAAAAAAATCTATTTAACTCATCTTTTAAAAGTACTACGTACAGAAGCCGAAATGCAGGGTGAGGATGGAGTGGGAGAAAAAGGGGCCACGAAGAAAAACAGTTAGACAATTACTTGTCTGGTGTGGGCAAAGCAACGGGAATCCCGGGAGATACAAGAATCAGTAACAACTGTTTTGCTCAAAAGTGGGATTTTTCCCTCATGTTTTGTGTTCTCAGTAGCGTCCGTAGGGGTGGTCTCGGTAGGCCCCCTTCACTGGCCTGGCCGGCGGGGCCTTCAGGGAGGGCCGGGTCCCATTCCAGTCATCTTGCCCTGTGGAGAAGACAAGGATATGTCAGGGATGTGGTGGTGGTGCCTCACCTCAGCACCCAACTGGAAAACACCCCGTGGTCCAACAAAATATTGGATTTACAGGATGATTTAGGCTGGAAAACCCCGTTAAGACTGAGCCAAATTAACCCACCACTAAACCTTCCAGCGCTGTGGGAAGGAGGAGGTGACACAGGGACGTGTCCAGGTGGGTCTGGGATGTCTCCAGAGACTCCAAGCCCTCCCTGGGCACCTGTTCCAGGCTCTGCCACCTCCATGGAAAGGAATGAGTTCTGCCTCAGGTTGAGGTGGAACTTGGCTGGGTTTTAGTTTATGGCCATTGCTCCTTGTCCTGTCACTGGGCACCCCTGAACAGAGCCTGGGACCATCCTCTGACACCCCTTGGAGATATTTGTATGGATTGGTGAGACATTTACATGGATTGATGAGATATTTGTGTGGATTGAGGAGATATTCGTAGGGATTCATGAGATCCCCTCTCAGCCTTGCCCTCTCCAGACTAACCAGGTCCAGCTCCCGCAGTTTCTCCTCATAAGGATCCCCAAAATCTCCTGCAGCTCCAACTTGGACAAACCCGGTGCCTTTCAGGAGTAATTAATTCCAGCAGGGCCAAAGCCAGTCCCCAGGGCAGTGTGGCACCAGCTGTGCCAGAGGTTCTGCCAGCATCCCTAATCCCAGGGTCTCACCATCAGGGACAGCTGCAGGAAGTGCTTCCCTCCTTCCCAGACACCAGGCAGGGCAGATCCTGGGCAGGTGAAAGGTGTCCCTGCCTGTGGTGGGGGGTGGAACGAGATGATCTTTAAGGTCCCTCACGCCCCAAACCATCCCAGGATTCCATGAACCACAACTGAAGCAAATGGAGTT